ACTTATCGGGTTAGAATATGTATATCGATATGTCACCCCCAACCTGCCCTTGTTTTCTGTACCAGATAATGCGTGTGTCAAGCTACAACAGTTTTGTCGAGGTCACATCTAGCTAATACCAGCCAAACCACTCAAATAATTATCCTCAAAATTCCATAAATAAAGTTGAACTTGTCCCATACATGCTCTCCATTATTCATTTGGTCAGAATGTAAATTACAACCTATAATTTTATGCATACAATAGTGATGATCACTATGCATCCGTCTCGCGATCATCATTATGAGCTATTAGTTCCTGTCAGGATAATGACGTCATTCGTAACTTGTATTACACATATGATGGACAAATAAAAACAAGAGTTTGCACAAAAACAATACAGTATTTGCTTTGATTTGAAGGGTTTAGGGATATAACTGGGGTTGGGGTTTAGAATTTAAAGTTTGTGAATTAGATTAATGTACGAATTAGTTGTAATCTTAGGTTGTATCGCCGTATTAGACTAATATTATCTTCACAATTCGATTCGATCTCTTGAATTAATTTTAGAGTTTGATAAATAATATACATTCATTTTTGTGGGTGCATTGTTTAAAATCATCATATACCTATGAGAAAAGTCATATATATATACCTCAAAATTTTATGCTTTAATTAGTTTGGTGTCTTCCTTAGCTTAACAATGAGGCGATGAGATTGGGAAAAAAGATATTAATGAGTGAGAGAATTAATCCTTTATTATTCTTTGTATTTAGCACGCGCATGGAAGGTTCATAAACCTTAATTAATAATTATTAGATTCCCCACGTGCATGGGAATAATTATAACTATTTTAATAATTAAACAATGTGTTGATTATATCAACTAGCTAGCTCCAAATTCGCCATTAGGACATGACGATCTAAACTCATGATTTTGTTCTTTCCGTGCATAACCAAGCGAAGCGAGCCGCCGCCACCTACCCCGGCGTCTATAAATCGAATCTATGCTTAGAGAAATTGGTGACCAAGTTGTGTTGCCTATAAAATCTATCTAGCTAGTTTATTTGTGAATGTATTGACGAATTTGTCCTACAAGGAAGTGGTCAAGACTCTACCTCTCTTAACGATTCAAATTATTGAAATCAAACGATGTATGTAACAGGATAAAACCGACTTGATTGTGAGATCACATGTTTTTTTCGCAACTCTTAATATTGATAGTTTATGCATATGCGGAGAGGCTGGTCTTGAGGAATGAGTGCACCTCAAGACGCCGCACGAGCTTCGAAAGTCTGTCCGTGACAGTACTTGAAAGGTTGAAAATATTATATTTGCGGATGCTTTTGACAGACTACAAATCTTTAACAAAGTGCCCCCGCCAAGTTGAGTAAAGCTTATGTGGAACTGCTGAAAACAAGGATTGTAAAAACGTATAAGAAGTTGTATCGCAAAAATTAGCGATAAGATATTTTGTGCTAAAATTATAATTTAATGACATTTCAACCGTTCGTACCTTTAAAATTCACCTACCGATTTAAATTCAATAGAAGATTTTTCGATCGCGGTAAAGTTTCATAGACAAAGGATGTAACAGTTTAACCCATGTTCGTGCTTGCATGGACACTCTTCTACATAAAAAAAAATTGGCCGGCCCAATAAGATAAAAGGTAGATCGAGCCCTATGGTATTGGATTGTACTGCATTTTAACTTTATCTGGTTTTGGATCCAAACAAATGCTTGGTGACAAAGGACAGTTTGAAAGAAGAGTTTTTTCCTAAACTAGAACGATAACGTTCTTATTTCCACTAGTCATATAACAAAACTATAACACTATATTTGGCAACAAGAGGGTGCAAGTTCAAATCGGGTGCAAGTTGAGGGGTAAATTGCGAGGTGCAACTTGGTGGGGTTGTAAGTGGAGTAAATTGTTTGGTGACAACGGACAGTTTGAAAGAAGAGTTTTTTTCTAAACCAGAACGACAATGTTCTTATTTCCACTAGTCATATAACAAAACTGTAACACTATATTTGGTAACAAGAGAGTGCAAGTTCGAATTGGGTGCAAGTTGAGGGGTAAATTGCGGGGGTGCAACTTGGTGGGGGTGTAAGTGGAGGAGTAAATTGTTGTTTGGAAAAGTAGGAGGTGCAAATAGACTGAAAAGTAATTAATTATATTATTATAAAATAGATTTATCAAATTTATAAAAGATTATCATAAAATAATAAAATTAAAAATCAATATATAATAATAATAAATATATTTTAAAAACAATTATTTTATAATAATGCTCAAATAATAATTAATTATAACAACATTAATAATCATTGGTCGAGCGACCTCGAAACTCGAAACCCAACTTGTAACTGATCCTCCTAAGGGGGTTCTCGTGCCTATATTTAAATTGAATATGGTCAAACTTAGTCAAACACGTTCGAATATGTAAATTTTACATATTTAGTTAAGTAATCTGAGTCAACTAAACCGCTCTTCTCTATCTTTTCCACAAACGCTTCTTATCTCTAATTTTCAATGTAAATTTGAGTCAACCAAGATATATCGATTTGACTAGATAAACATTGACAAACTTGCTCTCGAAGTCAAACGGTCAACCCCGAACAACGTCTACATGACTACATTAATGATAGCTATAACAAAAAAATTAATAACATTAATTATTAAGTAATTATAATACAATTATAATATAATTAAAAGAAATCATAATTCCCCCCTCCCCCTTCCTTCCTTCCCTTACACCCCCAATTCGGGGGCAAGCCGAAATAGTAATTCTGCACTCCCGTTTTGCACCCCTATTGTTACAAATTATCCAAACGAGTGCAAATGTCTTGAAAACTGTATTTACCCCTCTCATTTGCACCCTCCTCCCATTTGCACCTCTTCCAAAAATTATTTTGATCAGTTAAACTACACAACTGGAGTCAAGCTGCTAGGTAGGCTATCTCTGGTGCTCGAAATTTCTAGCTAGCTAATTGAAGCCTTTTGAAGATGTACATATACTACAAAAGGCTTCAATAGTAGCAGATGAGAAAGTAATACACTCATTTCTATCTTTCGGACGAACCAACATGTAACGGTCAAATCTACAATAATTGATCGTTGACCTCAGAGTATAAAACGTACTCGAAATATAAAAAATGATATCATAATTCTAACCCTTTTTAGTTTAATCAGAGCATTCACTGTGACACTAATAACTGTTGATGTAATTTGAATCGGACTATATATGGGCTCAATGTTGTTTGGGTTTCTGTTTTGAGCATGGTTTGTAATCGTTTTTCCTTTACCATATTAGATTAGGGTTAGACCATGGAGAAGTACTATAAATACTTCTCATACTCCTCTGTAATCTTTATCTCTGCTCGACGTATAGTGCAACTGGCTCTCTCCTGCCCGTGGACTAATTAACACGCATTGTGTTAGTGAACCACGTAAATCGCGTGTCGTGTCGTGTGTTTATTCTTGCTTTGTCAAATTCTCCTATTTCCCGGTTCACAGAGAAACATGGTCGTGACAGACTGACAGTAACTAACTTCTAGCTGTAGATTGCTAGTTTACTCCACATAACAAGACAACTTGATTAGATGAATGATTCTCACAAACAATTTTACATTCATCCAAATTGGATAGTACCACCAATCTCTTGAAAACCCTAATAATCAGACTAGCTACTTGCGGGATAGTTGACATTACCCAATTATATCATTCCCATTATCCAAAGTTGACATTCCCAATCGCTCGCTACCTTGGAGAGACATATTCGTCTAGGCTACATGCGTGATACCTCTTCAACATAATATCGCAATTTGCAAACACACAATCTTCTCGATCGATCATATTCGCACGAGAGAATCAATGGCTCTTCAGATCTTGGTCGGGTCGATTATCCAACTTGATGATGATCACAATTCCAACGCATCCGCCCATATGCTCTAGTGGCAAAGAAAAGTTGCCATTATTCACTAAGCACGATTTCTTCATCGAGTAGTTCAAGCGCGTCTTTCTGCTCATGTAGCATAACGACATTGCCTCAACTGGCCTCACCGACGGTTAAAGGGCCTACATTTTAGTCCGCTTGAGTTGGTTTGTTCTGCCATGGCGTTCAACTATGTAATTACACTATAGCGCGAATAGGACAAATTCAAAACGAGAGCCACGTGTACTCTTCATCAAACATTAAACTATTTATAGGTCATTACTTACTTGGTAATCAATCGTTGGAAGAACCTGCTAGTGATCACTAAACGATCTTGTATGATACTCTCTAACGCATAATTACAAGAAAAATAGCTTAATGTGTCGCCCCTAAAAATGACTGTCAGAAGGAACAAAACCATTGCTAGCTAGCTAGGCCTCTATTTTGACGACCATTTTGTTACTTTTGACAACCCTTTTTCCTTGCGACAAAGAACTTGTAATCACGTTATCAGCTCGACGCAAATTTTGCAAACAAGACAAGATTTTTTTTTTCTATTGTTTTAAGTACATTAACACTTAATCGAAGCAGAAAGGATTCGATCATCAGATGACACCTAGTTTAGTTATAACTTAGTTTTTCCCTTCGGTTCTTCAACTTTTCCTCCACTCTTTCCTTTCATATAATATTTATACTTTCGGCAGCATTTTTTTCCTCCATTTAGGCTTATCCACACACATACACGATGAAAATGGAGGTAAAAAGGAAAACTCAATAGATTCTGCGGGGCATCAAACCCACCTTCTATGTGATGACATAGCAACCCACATAGGTCACTTCATATTTTGGGGGAATCCATATATCACAAGGAATAATATTTCCCCATCATCTTTTCATCTCTCTTTTTACTCTTTTAGTTCCATTTTTCTATCTTCACTTTACATTTCCCCATCAATCCATAACTTGTATTTAAGCCCTTCCATCTCTCCCCTTCAAGAAAACGCACACCCATCTTCACCAAGATACAACACTTCAAAAAAAAAAAAACACAATCAGCAACGAACTCAAAAGTCCGTCACTAAAGTCATGGACAGGGTGGCAAGGTTGGCGTCGCAAAAGGCGGTGGTGATCTTCAGTAAGAGCAGCTGCTGCATGTGCCACGCCATCAAGCGCCTCTTCTACGAGCAAGGGGTGAGCCCCGCGATCTACGAGCTGGACGAGGACCCACGAGGGAAGGAGATGGAGTGGGCCCTCGTCCGGCTCGGCTGCAGCAACCCTTCGGTTCCTGCGGTGTTCGTGGGCGGGAACCTCGTCGGTTCGGCCAACACGGTCATGACCCTCCACCTCAATGGCTCGCTCAAGAAGCTGCTCAAGGATGCTGGCGCCTTGTGGCTTTAGCGACGGGCTGTGGTTTGGGAAACAGCAGTCGTCGCTAAAAGGGTTTGCATGGGTTGATCAATATCGACCGACTCTCCGTCGCCCTAGAAAAATTTCCCTTGTTTTTTTTTTTTCCTTCTTTCTTTGCGGCTATAAAAAATGTTGTGGAAAAAAAAGATAAACGTATAGAGGATTTAGAATTTATCAAAATGTACCAAGAACATATGTATGCCGAAGGACTTTTTGTTCCAACACACGTACGTATGTATAAGATATGGTCTACTTTTCTTTTCTTGATGCTATATAATGTTGTTAAGAAATTGACATCAATGAGAAAGACGCTAGGGTTTTGCAATATATAGCTTGAAGTCGACTTACTATCCATTGATTTTATTCTTATTAGATCACGCGATGCAACCCATAAAACGTAATGTTGATGTCTGATCAACGAGAGTTCTATTATTTTTTGTGAACACAGGTGCAAGCATCACTACTTTGACCAACGAATTCCATGAGTTAATATATACTTTCATGTACGCGGGCTAGCTATAATAGCGTGACGTACAAAACAGACAAGGTAAATTTTTAACAAATTACTAAATAGTCGTAATATGTCGAGCACTATTATTTATAAAAAAATAATATGTCGAACACTATTAGTAAATCAATTAAAATATGTCACGAATTCTAGTTGTAGCAATGTGCAGAAACTATGTATGATTTAATTAATAATTCCCTTTCATGTATATTAATGATATGATCAACTCATCCCAAAGGCTAGAAGAAGATCATTTTATTTGGAACATGGAATATTTGTTAGGTGGTTATTTGAAAATTTTATGTTCCTTTGATTCTAAACCGTAGTAAACGTTTGAAATTCTCCTATTTGCCTACCTATTGCCTGCCTACCTTCTAAAATATCTAATGCAATACCTAATTTGTTATAATTATACATATAATATAATAGTGTTTTTTAGACCGAGGAATTTCGTGTTATCATGGAAGTTTGACTTAATAGCTTGAATAGTAAAAATGACTTAATACTTAATAGTAAATCTTGCATCATTTTCTTAAAATGTGGACGCTAGCTCTTCAACTTGCAGATCAATCATTTCATGCACTTAACTAATTACACATCAGCTAAACTTTTTTTCCAGTTGAAACTTGGAAATTTGGGTTATTTTTAAGACGTGTGTTTCTTATCCCAAAAAATTGATACTACTTAGCATGAATCCTCGTCTTTCCGTTACAACTGTACATGGGTGTTTGGTCGTGTTTGGGCCGGCACGGCACAAGCACGCTTCGGACTCATTTATTTTGTGCCGTGCTTGGCACGGCCCGTCAGTTTTCGTGTAGTGTCATGCAAGTCCATTCGTTAACTTTGCAAGGCCCAGGCCCGGGCACGGTTCGAATCGTGTCGTGCCTATTCGTGCTCGTGTCATGTTTGTATTCGTGTTTAATGAAAAAGACGAAAATAAAAGAGAGAATGAAATAGAAGGTGAAAATAGGACGGAGGAAGATAGTATTAACCGATAATGTTTGAGAAAAGTAACAAATAAGGGGGAAAGAAAACTGGAAGTATAGCGAGTGTGATTTGGCTTTGTTTAATTCTTTGACCATTTTTACTTATGTTAGTAATTACGTATATATCTTTCTGACATTTCTAACAACAATAAATAATTATTTTTCTACTTGTGTTTTGTAATATTTGAACCTATAATTTTTTTATATTTATTTTCTATCAAATAAATATTATTTTTGTGCCATGTCCGCTCTTATACTCAATAAAGTCTCGAAAATATTAGACCCGACACGGCCCACTTATATACAGTGTCGTGCCCGTGCCCATGAAATGTAGGCCCGGCACGGCCCATAAAGTATTCGTACTCGTGCCAGGCTGGCCTATTTATTTCGTGTCCGTGCTCTTGTCGTGTTCTAACCGTGCCGTGCCGTGCTAGCCCGTGAGCGGCACGGCCCGGTGCCCACGTACAATTACAACTATATGGTTTTGTTATAAAATAATTTTAAACAAATTTTTTTATTAAATTATTTGTTTTATTTAAAAATAATTTTATATCGGTACGAAACTGTTCAGTCTTCATTGTGCCATATACAGAAGAAAAAATTAAATCCTTTATTGAAATAATAAATGTATATTTATATATGCGCAGATTAAAGCCATTTATATAGAAATAATAGTGTTTTTTATTACCAAAAAAAAATAATAGTGTTTTTTGGGGACAGATGGACAATGCATAGAGGTGTCTCTTTTCCCAATTGATTCTAGTTCCCAATTCGCAAATGAGGAAAGATGCCAACTGATAGTACCATACCGAGGCTTCAGTTTCCAGTTTCGTTTTAGTGCCACCAAGAGCTTAAAATTAAAAAGAAAAGGCAATTATTGAATTTGAATATTATAGAAATATGATTCACATTCATTTCATCTTGTATATGATGGCCTGGTTGGAATATATTCCAATTTATCTCCAAATTAAATAGACCAAAGAGGATTTTTTATCATCATCGACTTGTTTATATTATGGGGTTGAACTTTTCTATTTAAGATGATTGATAATTGCAACAGCAAAGAAAAAGATCAAAGTTCAAGAAGCATCAGGTGTTAGGCTTAGGCAGCCATTGGGCTTTGTCTAGCGCCTAGGAGTTTTGAGTGAAAATAACAATTTTATGACATTGTTTATTTTATCAATTAATTTATATTAGTAATTTCTAATTTAGTCAACCCTCAAGAACAATCAAAATATGTCATGATTTCTTGAAAGCACATGTTTATATAATCAAAACTTTATAGAAAATGAAACACAAGTTCATAAACAATCAAACAACAAACACTTAATTAAAAACGAGTCCATTAATTCATCATTGTCCACATAGGCTCGTCCAGGCACCACTTCAGTCTTCAACATCCTCATCAAAAGCAATATCCTCTCCATCCTCCTCGTCATACTTGGATTCTTCGTCATGGATCTCTCTCACTCTTGCACTCCTAGGAAGTTAAAGCTGCTCACTATTTACCATTGTATCTGTAACAACGCTCGATGGTGCACACTCTCCCTTTCTCAACGTCCCTTAACAAATACATAGCATGATTATCCCCTCCCTCTGATATGAATCCTTGTGTTTCATTTGCATTGGTACTAAGAATATCAAAGAAGAGGTTGTTGTATTTCCTCATATGTGAGTCGAGTCCTGATTGTTCTGAGTTTGACCTAGAATTGAATTCCAATTTTTTTTATCAAGAAAAGGGGGAGCGAAGATGCATGAATTGATGGCTTAATAGGAGATGGCGTTGTTTTGGGACCATTTTTATGCCTTCTTTTAATCCTCAGTCTATCATGCTAAAATTTGATTAATCATGCCTAGCTTCGTCTAGGCGCCGCTAGGCGTTATGAATGCCTAAGTCTCTGTCTAGGATCTAAGGGAGGGGTTTTGTCGCTGCCTAGCACCTAGGCAAGGCGGAACTAATACTTTTTGAACCTTGAAACGACAATGAATAAAAAATTATGGGAAGAACAAAAACATTTTCTTATTTTCTTTATGTTCTTGGGTCGTTACTCGAGTAGCAATGGTGGATTTGCTAGATGTCAGTCATTATCATTTTCAACGGATGAGATTTCTAGAGGGCGGACGTGAAATTCTATCTATGAATTGTATTAAATAGTAATAACTAATAAGGATAAGACTCTTGTGAGTTTGAACATTAAGGTCAACAATTATCTAAAAAGAGAAGAATTTTAGATTGTTCATCGATGAAATTATACCCCGATTGAATTGGAAATTCGTGTTAGATTAAGATTTCTTTTCGGATTCAAAATTCTAAAGCTAAATCCAATTGGGTTAGGTGATCTAGTAGAACTAGAATTAGCAGCTTTATTTACTACGAATTAAATCTTATTTTATGATTGACATACAAACATCGTTTTCCCCTCGATTATTGGTGCCTTTGTTCTTATCTTATGTCAAGAAGTTACTGTTCAGTTTTAACTGCACGAGAATGATGAATTCCTGACAAATGATGAACAGTTTCGTAGTGTGCATGATTTGGTGCAATCATCAAAGGACAAGCAAAAGGTTAGAAATTTATTTGGAAAAAAAAAATTAGTGAATAATTGAGCTTTTCTTTTGTGATGGGTCCAAGGAGTAAAAGAAAAAATCGTACCCAAACAAAGACCATCTTTTTGTCAAATTGCTGGACTTTGCCTTGGCCCAGACAGAGGACCCGGCCCAAATTAATGGAAATGACATGATATGACAAGTTAAAGGTGAAAGAGAGCAAAATGTGTTTTTGTCTGTAGAAATGGAACTGTCCGAAATGACTTTCTACCAAATGTGTTTTTGTGGGACATGATTTTTCTCCCCCTGTTTATGTTTTCTTCTTGACATTATCAATTTCTTGCCAACAACCCATGTTCAATTTATTTGTTTGCATGTGTTGAAATGTAAACCGTACGATTTCACGAAGGTCGCATCCACAGTTCACGAACAACGTTGTACATGTTTAAAATAAGCAAAAAAAAATTGATTGACGCTCGGACGTAACGGTCTCGTGATTGCAATGTAGAGTTAGTGTCACCTCAAGGAATAATGAATTTTCCCAAGTACATTGTTTGCTGTTTAAGTTCAAATAATTGCCCTTATAAGTAAGAAAAAGAAGCTTTTTGATTGAGATTTCACTAAATAATCCACAAGCCAAACCAAAGATTCCTTTTCTCCCTCGTCCGAGAGACACCAACCAACCGAGCATTACTGTGGGCCGTAATATTTTGTAATTTTGTGCAGGCTTCTTTCAGGGCCCATACCCATCTAGCCCAACTAACAACAACACAATTTTTTTTTGCTTTTGTCTTATTTTGTGAGCTTTCATTTGTGCAGTAAAAATGTAAAAGTATAAGTGTAGTAACATAAAATCATGTAGTGACTACATTCATGAAGAGGGTTTGTTTCGTTTGTACATATAAATCTTAATCTGTCTCCAATTGGATGAAGGCAACTATAAAATGCTA